AATAATAATAATAATAATAATAATAATAATAATAATACCACCACCACCACCACCACCACCCCAGGCTGAACTGGAGATGCCATGGAAATCTTGGAGGTTCTTAGGGACTGTCTCATTAAATTAAATCCTATCACGATGGAGTTACTGTATGTCAGTAAACATCTGGGAAATCTGGTAACATCAATCCTGCTAGTTACTTTGGATGTGGGTCATGTTCCCCCTGAAGGAGTTGGTTCATGATTTGGGGTCTTGTGGAATCTTGGCCCCCACTTAAGCAGCTAATGGAAGCCATGCCCAGTAGCAGCTGGTATGCCAATTACAACCATACTTAGATCCCCTGGCAACAGTAACTCATATCCTGATCACCGTCCAGGTGTAATACTGCAATGTACTTTACATAGGGTTGCTATCTTGGAGACAGTTCAGAAGCCTCAGCTACTCAGCCTTGTTTTAGTTTCAGATTACTACATATATCAAATATTAAGGATCTCAGTGTGACGTTGAACTATGTTCCTAAAATATGGAATTTGTCCTTTTATCAAGAACTTTGGCTCTAGTGACCCTGGGACACGGTAGAGAGGATAATTTTATGTCACTGGAAAGAAACTTACTCTTCTGATTTTAAGGAATGAATCCAGGATATAGAGTTAGTTACACATTTTTGAAAAGTCCTTGTATTCTAAAAATAGCAATATGATGCTATATGGTCTATATTCAATGATAAGCTTAAGGGCTGGGTCAATGTCACATTGTTATTTACAATTATATGGATTTTTGTTTCTGTTAGGTTTTTTTTTTCTTAATTTCACTATTTTAAAATTTGAAAAAACTGCTGGTGGGACAATCCCACCATTGCAGAATAACATCAATTTTAAGGTTGTTAGACTGGTTGCTGATAGCCTTGTGTGTCTCTTCAAATTGCTGGTCATTACTTAAAAGCCCTATATAATATGGCAGTAGGCTATAACAGGAATTGTCTTACTGAAATTTAGTCTGCCAGTCTTGCCTAAAAACATCCAGAGGGGCCTGCTGAGAGCACCCCCTAGGTAACAGGCCTTTTCAGCAGTAGTCCCCACATTTGGGAAATTGCCTTCTCCACAAGAATATTTGGCCCCATCCCTCTTTACATTTCACAAGGCTGTTAAAAGTATTATTCTAATGTGCCTTTGGTCTAAGTTGACAGTTTAACTATTGTAATTTGTATTATTATTGTGCTTTGATTGTACTTTATTTGATTGTTGGTTTTATTCTTCCCTTGTTCATTTCCCAGAGTCTGAATTGGGGCCATATACAGATGTTGTGAAATAAATAAATATGTATTTATGTATTTTAGGCCAACAGGAATTGTATTGCAATAGCTTCAAGCCATGAAATTCAAGAACTAGATGTTTCTGGAATTTTAGCAACTCAGATCTACACTTGGGTTGATGATGACGTTGAAATGGAAGCTAAAGGGTATTTCCTTTTATTTGTATTTTTTGACTGTATCCTTAATATTGACTTGAGGATTTTACTGATATCCTATTAAAATACTGACTTATGAATATTATGATCTACCTTCTGTCTTTTTCTGAAAACTTTTAAGTCTCTCGTCCATTTCCCTAGTACACTTCAGCTCCTACATCGTACTCATTTTCTTGTTAACACTAACTTCCTGATAATTAGATCTGACTTGCTGTGTTATTAAGAGCACTTCTTTTGACAGACAGCATTTCTCTTCTCTATCAGCCACTAACTGGCTCTGTCTTGATCCATTCACTGATTGGCTATGTAGTTATTACAGCCCATAAAATCTTAATTCTAAAGTGCAAATGTATCACAAATCAGATTAATTACTGTCAGTAGTTCATGGGATATCAAATGAGAATTCATAGATATAGGTACCTAAGCAGCCACATGCTTTCAATTATAATATGACATTTGTAGCTAGTAACACATGGCCAATATTCATTTGAGCATTTTGTTTTATAGAGCTGATGACTTCTTAGTTATACATGCTCATGATGACTTGGGAAACATTCAAGGAACTACTCCTTATACGCACAGCACTCTTGGAACACCAATCAATATGCCATGGCTTGGTGGCTTCCAGACTGGCAGGGGTGCTGCTATGGTGAGCCACTTGTTAAAGAATAATAGTAATCTTAGCATTTATATATTAATGTTGTTTTTATTTTATTTATAAGATATGCTTCTAAATAATTCATTAAGATTTAACAAATACCTTGGATATTAATATTAATTTAAATCAAATTGAACATGGTTTATTTCAACAATTTTGAATGTGAGGTTATATATTTAAACTTACTTCTTTTCAGAATGACTACTATGTATTTCCTACAAACTGTAGTCTAGATAGGCAAGTGAAATCTAGAGGAGGGTTTTCCTCATCTGTTATCAAGTATCTTCTTCTCAGACAACATACAGACTAAGTGAAGAAAGGAAACAAAGCCAAAGAATTCCTCATGCTGTTGAGAATTAAATTGGCTAGGCAGATCCTAATGGCTTCCTTACTTCCCTCCCATCAAACTTGGCCAGTCAGTTCTAATTTTACAATAATTTCTTTTTTGTTGTCCATGAAACTTGTTTGTTTATATCCAATTCTGTTTGAAGAATTATACACTTTTGTGAATTTCATCAGCTAGTTCTCACTAGTGATAAGATGTAACATTATACTTCTTGAAGCTTCTTTACTTGATTAATATGAGCTTACTTCATGTCCTAAAACTGGTTTCATAAACCATACTGAAATATTCTAAAATGTTGTGTCAGAAAATCTACTTTTGAATATATTAATAGGTGGTAGGGTGAATGAGAAAATTAGACTGACTTTTCTTGATAGTTGATTTATAAGAAACTCATCTGGAGTTGGCCCTTTCTTTGCTTTCTTTAGATGTGCCCTTATACTATTTTTCAGACAGTCTTTTGGTTTGGGTGAGGCTTAGTTAATTTCTTTAGGTTACACTTGTTTTGTGAATGCTTGAAGCTTTAATAGTTATCTTCTGGAATTTTTGAAGTGGCTTAGGCTGATTTTATACTGTTATTTCATAATGTGATATTGTTTCAGAGACTTCTGAGGCATTTTCAGACAATGTATTAATTTATGAAATGCAGTATAGAAATCTTTTAAATTAAAACATTAACCCCTCATATTTTTATTGTTTACATTTTTTGTCAGGTAGCAATGACAAAATATTTTCCTCAGCCTAAACTACAATATAGTGCAGGATTTTTGGTAGAAACAATGACGTTTGTAACAACAAATCACAATTTTTATTGGTCCCCTTCTACCAAGTTTCTGCCAATCATATTTTTAGTTTGCTCTGCTTTTCACAGCTAATCAACCCAGTTTATATTCAAAGCTAGTATCTTTCATTGCCTAACAGATTTTCCATAACACAGTTTTCTTCTTATTCTTTCAATAAGATAATATAATCAGCATGTACATACTGCTATTAGAGTGTTCAGAGTACATCACAATTATACTATAATCCTTACTGTAACTTGGTATAATAAATAGATGTTATACTCATTTTGGAGGCAGATGGAAGAGATCTGACAAAATCGTACCAGAAAACAGCCAGTGTGTTCTTTGTTTGACTCTTCTTGCTTTTCATTCAGATTCCCAATATTTCCTCAGTCAAGTGACTCTGCCAGTAACACTTTAAACTTCTCACCCTCCTGAGCTCTATTTTGTTAGAATCTATATTGTATGTTCCTTCTCTCACTAGAACTCATGTGAATTTCTCATTCAGAACTAATGCTCCTATCACTTTCTCACATGAGTATTCCTGAAAACCTTTGCTTGTTTTCACTATCCAGCACTTAAAATCTGAGGCATGTGAGCTTAATCACTAAAACGTAGCTTCAGCGTCATCTTAGTCTGCTATAGTCTTGTTACGTCAAAGATATGCAACAGTGTGTAAAAAAATATTTTGGATTTCAGCTCCCATCAGCTCTAACTAGCATGGCCAATACTGTAGTAAGAGAGTATGGGAGTTCAAAACATCTGGAAGGCCAAGGGGAAGCCAGTCAGTATGTCAACTAAGGCTGTGAGTCAGCCACGTAGTGGTTACCATGTGTCATAGTTTGCAAACAAATATGGAGATGGAAAGGCTGCACAACTGGATTCTCACTCCAGTATAAGTATTCTGTGATATCATTCAAAAAGGTTTTATATATACTACTGATTTCACCTTATAGTAATGAGGACACATTGATTGATTGCATTTACATCCTGTCTTTTCTCTGAGAAATGGAAGTTATGTAGGAGTTATCTCTAATTCTGCTACCACACCAATATCCTTAATAATGATTTATTAATAAATAATTTTACCTACATTTTCTGCAAAATTTAAAGTAAATACATTTTCTCCATTTATATGATAGAATTTCATCCACACGTATATTTTCTCAATTTTTGAATCAATAAAAACAGCCAGACATAATTAAATTATTGAAATATATTTAAAAATTTATTTCACTTTTATAAGTTAAACCTTACTTTGTACAGATGAGCTGCTATTTATTTATTTCTATTTATAACCTTCATACATCATTTTAGATAAAAAATACTCTTACAGTACAAAGACTGATTTAAAAAATCAGATTATGAAATAAGTTATGGCTATATTTAATACCTTAGTGTTTGCTGCAATTTGTGCTTTGTCTCCTAGGATTCATTACATAAACCATTTTCCAGTTAATGTATTTCACACCTAAATCTTATGTAGATGATTAAATGCAAAACATAATTTCTTCACTCCTGCTTACTTTTTGTAAAAGTTTGTTTACCTCTCTCTTACATGCCTCTACTTCTGCCTTTGTCTTACTTACCTTACAATATACAGGAATATTCCAATAAATTTAATGGAATCAGAAAGGAATTGGCAAGAAAAGAGGTAAGATTGAAGTCTAGCGTGTGTCTTTTACAAACCTTAGATTTATGGACCAAAAGCTTCCAAGAACCTGGATTTAGATTCTGTTGATATGAACTTTGGATAAACACCGAAGGAAGGGTTTCGTTTTCACTGATTGTCATCCGTATCTCAAACCCCAAGTCACGAAGGGAAGCAAACATAGTAGTGTCTGTATTTTATATTACTGATGATTTTAACTGAACAGATTTCTGAATAATTTAAACTGTATTCTTTAATTTTGGACATTTAATAGATGATCAAGAAGAATCTCAATAATGTCAGAAGAATGGCTTCTCACCCAACACTACCATATTGTAAGTTTTGTATTTCTAACTCATAACATTATTGTAGTTTATAAGAAAATAAAATGTTAGATGAAATTATAGCAAAAAGGCCTGATTCAGAAAATTCAGAGCATCTTTCAAATGATAGATAACTGAAGCTAGTTATTTGCAGTTATTCTTTTTGCAATAGTATTTGATTTTGTAATAGTATATGATTTGGTTGGGCTTGAATGAGTTAAGAACTTTCAGTATTATGCTAAGTTCCTTAATGTAATACAGATCAAAGAATGCCCTCAATAGCAAAGAGCCAGCAGTTATTATTTATAAAAATATATGCAAAGAAGCAATAATTGAAGAATTTGTTACTTAAATAACTTAGGAGTATACTTCTAGATTATTTATAATTGCTAGTCTGAGTTGAAAATAATTGTTCCAATTCTTTTCTGAATTTGCTGTACATTCATTTTTTTAATTTATTTATTTTTTCTTAAGTCTTGAAGTTATATATTTTTTATTGCAGATTTGACAGGTGCTCAGGATGGCAGTGTGAGAATGTTTGAATGGGGCCATTCTCAACAACTTGCATGTTTCCGATCTGGTGGCAACCCCAGGATTACACGGATGAGATTTAATTATCAAGGCAATAAGGTACTATCCTTTTATCTTTATAGGATGAAAAAAATCTATTTAAATAACACTTAAATATTTATAAATTTGTATTTTTGTTCCTTTACAAAATTTATATTGTTCTTTATCTTTAAAAATAATCCCAATATTAAAAATACTACAAATGAATATTTAAATTTATTATGTTTTTGAAAACTTATTAAATTAGACATTAGCTATTGCCTCACAGTAATCCAATAGCTAGTATCTCAGTTTTTACTCAATATATGAGATCCCCTAAATTCACAAACACCTTGTGTGTCTAGCAAAGTGGACTGAACTGAAGTTTCTGCCACTACTCGCGTAGCACGGCACTTCCTTTAGTTTGTTTAATCACTGATTGTAAGAATAATGGTGCATGACTTGAGAAATATGGTTCCACTTCCATTTTGAAGCAACCTAGCCCAGCAGATTAGGCTACTAAGAAACTTTTCTTCTAGGTTTAGGCTTTAACTTGTCAGTAGATGCAAACATCTTTCATATTACTACACCCTTTGTTTAGAAGGTACTAACTAGCATTAGAAAGGCTATCCCATAGCTCAAACAGGACTTGAGATGTATCACTAGTAGAGTGGTTTTTAGATTGGACTTTGTAAGGAGGGAACTCAGAATTGAAAAATATGTTAAAATGCCTCAAACAACAACATTACTGATTACTGTACAGCTTTTTTTAAATTATTTTTTTAAAAATTGTATATTCCCCTTCAAAACCTAAACACATATAGCCATATCTAATTATTTGAGATAAACCATGGACATAAAACTCTTACAAATGCAAAGGCTTCCCTATTGACTTTAATATACATTGGAAAAATTTGCAATCCAATGTTGGGTAAATTTGAGAGTCTGAATGAAGATTACTAGAGCAGCAAGGAAAAATAAATGCAAGAAACTTTATTGTTTCTATAGGTAGATTGTGTGCTTTAACCACAAAATTTGCTGAAATTCCTTGGTTCTAGCTTCCTAACTTTCTTCAGTAAATATTACTCATTGTCCTAGCATCTGAAAATGAGCTTGAACACTGTCCTCAGAGATTAGAATATAATTTTATCTAATCAGCTCTTCAAAATAATGTATAAACTTCAAACATTCAGAACTTAATTTACAGATAGTATTATATGCTTATGCTATTAACACATAGTTACTTGTTATACAGCTGGAGGAATTATAAAATAAGAGACTTATCTCATGGCCATGTTTTGTTTTTGAGTAACAAGGATTATCCACCTGTAAAGCTATGGTACCATTTGTATAAACTCCACAATTATTCCAAATCACAAGATATAATTTGCAATATGATAGTGTTTTTAATCTTTAAACACACACACACACACATGTATGTATGTATGTATGTATGTATGTATGTATGTAAGATTTCAGGTACCATTTCTGGAGATGATGGATGACTATGGCTTGCAAGTATATTACTGCTGATTCTTGCTTCATTCTTATCAGTAGATCCAGTGATAGCTACAGTGTCAATGTTTACAGCTCTGTCAATCACTTATTGAAGTTTCTTTTGTAAAGGATTAAAAAAGGAGAAAAAGGGGGGGCTGTATTTTAGATTTTTAAAAATTCTAAGAGAGGAGAAAAACATCTCCTATACAAAAATGTCTTCCGATTCATTGTAGAGGTTCTTTTCTCTGTCCACTAGCAAATGGAATTTCATTAGCAAAAGTATACAATGAGTCTTTCTGGTTGTGAAATTATGGCTTGGTGAAATCTATTACATCTCCTTTCTTCCCATACTTTAGTAGATTCCAATTTCTTGTGTACAGACCAACATTTTGTATTTTAAACCAGTTGGATCCTATTGTTTTATTCTGCAACAATATAATGTTGCAAAAATACAATATTTATAATATGGAAGTGAATGAGGAGGCTGTTGCTCATGTGAATTCTATTTGCATTCAGTCTTCCGGGTATGCTAGGAATTGCTAATGACTTACTACACATACATATGCACACACATCTGGAATAGTGCTCTTTCCATTGGTTATATAGTATTATTATTATGTATTTGGTTTTTATTGTATTTTAATTAATATTTATTTGTTGTATTTATTGTAAACTGCTCAGAGTCACTTCCTTGTGAGATGGGTGGTGACCAAATTTGAAATATAGATATAGATATATAGATATATGGTTTTAATGTCTAGGCAAATGTTTGGAAGCATGCATTGGATAAAGATTAACTATAAAGGAATCAAATAGTATAAGTCCTAATATAATGTAAAAATATGTATCTACTTTCTTTAGTTTGGGATTGTTGATGGTGATGGATACATAAGTTTGTATCAAACAAACTGTAAGGGTTGCCTACATAATGAAAGCACACCCAAACCATACCTGGTAAGTCCAAATATTTTCTAGCTTTTTTTTATTTACCTTTTTGTTTTTTTATATAACCATGACAATTAACTCCTTGTTTTAATTTGATACATAGCTGTCTTATTTTCATATAGTTTCTTCTATACAATGGACAAATATTCTAGGCTGAAAATTGCATGGATTCCAAGTCCATTATATTTTTTATTTGAGGTAGGAAAAACAGAATTTTCAAGCAAAAATAGAAGTTTCACATTTCAAACATTTTTCCTCCTAGATTTAATACTTTTGAAGAATCATTTGAAATCTGTAAACTAACTGTGATTTAAGGCTGTAATATTTTATGCAGTCCAGGAAGTCATTGTGGGAAAAACCTGTTAGGTATCCTGCAGCAAGCTTGAACCTGTAATTAATAAATAATATTCTTTTCTAGATAAATAAGAAGCTCTAATGTTATTGACAAATTAATCATATTTTTGTTGCTTTACTGTGCTTACTGTTCTTTGTTATTTCCAGACATGGCAATGCCACAACAAAACAGCTAGTGATTTTGTTTTCATCAGTTCTTCATCTTTGATAGCTACTGCCGGGCTATCTACAGACAACAGGTATTAAAATTTGTTCAAGATCTTAGCAATAAACATTGTATAAATAAAAAGTTAGTGATTACTAGTAGTGACTTTGTACAAAGGAAAATTCTTCCCAATGTTCATTTCCTCTTTATACTGTAAAGTATGTGCCCTGGAGAATCCTTTAAGAACAGCTTTTTAGGTTGAGCAGGGAGCAAGTGTCCCATGGCATGAAAGGAGAAATTATACCTATTAAATGCAAAATTTCTATTGGATACAGTCCTTTCTATGTACGTAGATAATAATCATAATTACTGTGAGGATTGTTTAGGCTATCTGATGGATGAAATACCTCAGTTTTGCTCCAACCTGGACTCTGACTGGGCAGAGCAGGCTGAGGTGCCTGGGGCATGATCTGGGGATATGATCTGTGATGAGTTTGAGCCAGTGATGCCTGAGGAAGTGGACAGGGTTCTCTGTGCTGTCAGCTTGGCCACCTGTTTACTGGATCTGGGACCCTCCTGGATTGTAAAAGAGACCAAGGAGTTTCTCCATGGTTAGGTCCATGCTATGGTGTTGGCCTCTCTGAGGGACAGGTACCTCCTGCCTTGAAAGAAGCAGTGGTGTACTTCTTCCTCAAGAGGCTATCCTTGGACCCAACAGTTTTTGACAACTACCAACGAGTCTCCAACCTTCCCTTTTGGGGAAGTTTGTTGAGAAAGTGGTTGGTCTGCAGCTGATGAGAACCTTGGACCCATTTCAGTCAGGTTTCAGGCCAGGATTTAGTACTGGGACAACCTTGGTCACACTTGTCGATGACCTGTGGTGGAGCTAGGATGGCAGTGGTGCATACATTCTTGTGCTCTTTGATCTGTCTGGTTTTCGATACCGTCCACTATGGTATCTTTCCAAGCCAGCTTCAAGGATTGGGGATTGGGGGCACCATTTTACGTTTCTCTTCCTTTCTCTGGGGCTGATTCCAGTCAGTGCTGGTTGGGGGAGAGATTACTCCCTAGGCCCCTCCTTTGGGGGTGCAGAAGGGTTCTACTCTTTCTTTTCAACACCAACATGAAACCACTGGGTGAGGTCATCTGCTGGTTTGGGTTCGGTATCATCAGTATGCTGATGATACCCAATAATATCTTTCAACCCTGGGCCAGCCAAGTGAGGCTATTGAGTTTCTATCCCAGTGCCTGGAGGCTGTGTGGGTTTGGATGGGAAAGAACCGTCTCCATCTCAGTCCTGCCAAAATCAAATGGCTGTGGATGTTTGACCTGATCTTTGACCTTGGGTGGGGCACCTCCTGCTTGCAGACCAGGTGTCAGCTGTGGCTAGGAAGGCCTTTGTACAACTCAGTCTGGTGCACTTATTGTGCCCGTTCCTAGACTGGGGGGCCCTTCAGACAGTAACTTATGCCCTAGTCACCTTGCAGCTAGCCTTCTGCAATGCTCTCTACATGGGGCTGCCCTTGAAGAACACCCAGAAGCTTCAGCTGGTCCAGAATATAGCAGTGTGAACAGTAATGGGCATGCTTCAGTATGCCCATGTAACACCTCTGTTTTGCAAGCTGCCATGGTTGCTGGTTTGCTTCTGGGTGTGATTGAAGTGCTAGTTGTTCCCTATAAAGCCCTGTAGGGCATAGGACCTGGTTACTTGAGGGATGGCCTGTCTCTCATAATATCTGCCCAGCCAATTCAATCCTGCAGGGTTGGCACACTCCAGGTTCCTTCAATTAAATGGTGTCATCTCTCAGACCCCAGAAATATACCTTCTCTGTAGCAACACCTGCCCTCTGGAACAAGGTTACCCACGAGATCTGGATGGTCCCCACTCTGATGTTGTTTAGAAGAGTCATGAAGACCTGGCTCTTCACCCAGGCCTTCAGTGAGGGAGAGTGAGACCCTTCATTTCATTGCACTTGCCATCTTTTATCTTTACTTTTTATGTTTTATTGATTTTATTATAATTTCTTTGATTGTTGTCAGCCACTCAGAGCTATTGAGAGTCAGGTGGCATACAAATAACAACAACAACAACCACCCAGTGAGGCATTACCTTGACATGGTTGTGGGGCTTGAGTGTTCCAAGGAGGAGAGCTATGCCAGAGGTTCAACCAGACAAAGAGTGTCTCTCCCATAAACAATACAGTGTGACGTAATTTACAGAAACCTATACCAGATCGGAGAGACATCACCTTGCCGACAAAGATCCGCATAGTCAAAGCTATGGTTTTTCCAATAATAATGTATGGCTGTGAGAGCTGGACCATAAAGAAGGCTGAGCACTGAAGAATTGATGCCTTTGAACTCCGGTGCTGGAGAAGACTCTTTAGAGTCCCTTGGACTGCTAGGAGGTCAAACCAGTCATTCCTAAAGGAAATCAACCCTGACTACTCATGGGA